ATGAGGTTCTTTTATTTAAATTTTAAACTATATACACTACCCCCAACTGATCACCTCAGGTAAGTGAGATTATAACTGCTAACTAAATGTAAATATAGAGCACCGAATTGAAATTTAAACTGACCTCCTGTCCAATCATATGACAGACACAAAATAATGTCTAAGTAAAGAGGCATACCTTACATAATTTAAAATTATTTCTTAGGTTAAGCCATAATCATGAAGCCACAAAGGGAAAAGGTCTCTTTTTGTAGTTTTTGGAAATAAGGTCTCACATATTCTAGGCTGGTCTCTAACTTCTGGGTTTAAAAGATTCTCCTGTCTCAGCTTTTCAAGTATTGAACTACAAGGTACATGCCACCCCACCTGGCCATATTCTTTAACCAAACAACTTTCACCACAGTTAAACACACCCTTTATGGCAGTGGTCCCCTTCCTAAAGCTGGGCAGCCTCAGTTCCTTCGAGCATGTTACATGATTTATTTCTACAGCTTTTACCATTCTGACAATTTCCTCTGACTGTTTTTCTATTTGTTTAGTTTTTGCACTACTGGGGATTGAAATCAAGGCCTTCACAGTAAGCTATATGCACAGTCTATTTTTTTTTCTTTTCTTTTCTTTTTTTGTATTAGTACAGGGTCTAAAGGGTCTCACTATGTAGACTGGACTTGTAGTGATTCTCCTGTTTATAGCCTCCCAAGTGCTGCGATTACATGTGTACGCCACCATGCCCAGTCTCAACTGCTGTCTCAGCTTGTCCTGGGGGGCAGGGCTGGCACGGCAGGCCCAGGATTGAACCCTGGTCGCTGCACTCTGCCTACACAGGTGCTTTAATCTGCTATTTGGCTGGCCCTATTTTTTCAAAGTTTGAGACAAAACCTCACTAAGCTGCTAAGTTGCTCTGACCAGGCTTGAACTTAGAAAACTTTTTGTTTTGGCCTTACAGAGTGCTGGGATTGTTTCCCAGTTTGAAATGATGATCTCAAATTGAATACAATAGGATGTGACCTTTAGCTAGTTATTTTTATAAATATACCTTATATAATTAATTTAGTTTGTACTTTGTATTATTCCAATCTGTAGCAGAAAAAAACTATTCATAGTAGAGAAATTAGAAAAATTAATAGCAAAAATATTAAAAATTAATCTTGTAACAATAACACATTTTGAATGAGCTATTTTACTTATGGTTTTGCGCCTTGTGGGTATTTTTTTCCCTCCTTCCTTTTTATTACCTAAAAAAAATTCATTTATTCTAACTGATACTTTGCATCCTCTGACCAAGATTTCCTTAGCCACTGGCAACTACCACTCTACTCTCTGGTTCTATAAGTTCAACTTGTGTAGACTCCACACATAAACGAGAACATATAGTACTTACCTTTCTGTGCTTGGCTTCTTTCAGTTAGTCTAAGAGCCACCAAGTTTACCCAGATTGTTACAATTGACAGGATTATCATTGTTATAAAGCTGAATAGTTTCTCATAAAAGGGAAATTGTACAGCATTTAAGTTTGCACGTCTGATTTTGCACTGTTTGGCTACTAAGAATAATACTACTACAAACAAAACTACAAATACCTTTTTCCATCTTTTCTTTCAGTTACTTCAAGCACATGAATGATAGTACCATGAACACAGAACTGCAAATACCTTTTCCAATTTCTGCTTTGAATTATTTGGGACAGTGGAACTGATGAATCATATGGTTATACAATTTTTCCTTTTTTGAGCAACTGCCATACTGTTTTCTGTAACAATAGCAATATCTTATATTCCCACCACAGTAAACAAGGATTCTAATTTCCCCTTTTTTAATGTATTTGGTACAGGGTTTCACTACATAGCTCAGACTCATAGTGATCCTCCTATTTTCAGCCTCCCCAGTGCTGGAATTATAGGTGTACGCCACCATGCCCAGTCTCTGTGGCCAGCTCAGCAGGCCTGGGGGTAGGGCTGGCTCAGCATGTGGTGCCAGGGCTTGAACTCTGGCCCCTGTTCTAGCCTAAGGAGGTACATATTCCAAACAGGCCCATAGTCTGCTGAGCTATCTCACCGGCCCCAAGTGTTCTAATTTCTCCATATACTCAACAACCCTTGTTGTTTTGTGTAGTTTTGATAGTAGCTATCTTATCTTTATAGGCATGAGATAGTATCTCATAGAGATTTTGATTTTTGCTTTTCCTTAATTAGCAACAGTGAACATATTTTCATGTGCCCATTGGCCATTTGTGTATCTCCTTTAGAGAAAGGCCAACTCAAAGTGTTTTCTCGCTTAAATTAACTGGGTTCTCTTTTAGTGATACTGGGACTGAACCTAGCTAGGGTCTTTGTACTAAGCTTCTGCTCTCTTTTTTTTAAATTTTGAAGTAGGGTCTCACTAAGTTGCCCAGGTTGGATTCTGCAGTTCTTCTGTTTCCACCTCCCAGGTTGCTGGGATTACAGGTATGTGACAACATGCCCAGCCTTTGATTTTCTTTTTTTTTTCAGAACTGATTGAACTCAGGCTCTTGCGCTTGCCAGGCAAGTGCTTATTCTACTGAGCCATCTCCCTGGCCCCTGATTTTCTTTTCTTTTCTTTTTTTTTTGGCATTTGAATTATTTATTTATTTATTTTATTTTATTTATTTTGTGTGTGTGGTCAGCTCAGCCCACCAGGGGGCGGGGCTGGCTGACATGTGGTGCTGGGGGATTGAACCTTGGTCCCTGTGCTTTGCTCTGCTTAGCTTGTTCTAAGCAGGTGCTTTGGACCACTGAGCCATCTCACCAGCCCCCCTGATTTTCTGGATGATATCTTTTGAAGTATAAAAATTGTTAACTTTGATGAAGTCTGGTTTGTGTACTTTATTGCTTTGCTGTTCATGGTTTTGTTATGTCTAATGTTGGTTAAGTTAAAGATTGTGATTTACTGATATTTTCTTCTTAAAGTACTGTAGTATTCCTTTCATTGCTATAAGAAAATGATCCAAAGCTGAATTTTTTATAAAGAAAAGAGGTTTAGGTTGGGACCTGTGGATATACCTCTAATCCTAGCTTCTCAGGAGGCAGAGGTAAGGGCATTACAAGTTTGGGCCAGCCTGGGAAATTTAGTGAGACTGTCTAAAAAAAAAGAAAGAAAGAAAGAAAAGAAAATGCTGGGGATGTAGTTCGACAGTAGAGCTCTTGCCTAGCACATGCAAGGCCTTGGTACACTCCCCAATATCACATACACAGAAAAGAGATCTTTTTAGCTTATCATTTAGTAAGCCCAGTGGTGAGAAGCCTTGTAGCCTCATTATTACATCATGGCAGATAGCATCATGGCACAAGCACTAGGAGATGGAGATATAAATGGCCAGTCAGGAAGACAGAGACCAGGCAAGTCTGGGTCTTGCTCTTATGTAAAGGTCTTCTTAAGGGAACCACAGGAGTCTTCACAAGAACTATGCTAGGCTTTGCCCAGGGCGGTGCCCTCATGACCTAAGCTTCTTCCACTAGGCCCTGCCTCTGAAGGTTTCCACATTATGTCCAAATACCATCACTCTGAAAACTAAGCATGAATTTTTGGAGACAAATTACAAGTAAATCACAGCAAATCTACCAGTTTTAAGTCTTCACACTGAAATCTTTGATCCATTTTGAGTTATGTGGTATAGTTTGGGTCCAATTTCACTTTCCATGTGGCTACTCAGTTCTCTCAGCATGACTGTTGAACTCTTACCCTGCTGTGTTTTCCTGGCACTTTGTCAAAGATCAGGTGACTACAGATGTGTTGGCTGACAATTTCTGCATGTTGATTCTGTTGCACTAGCACATTAGTTGTTACTCTCATGTAACTATAGACCTGCATGGGTCTTATTCACCTCACCTGCTATTAGAAATGAACACAGCAGGGCCAAAAGCAGAATCCTGAAGTAATACACAGAATACTTTTATTTGGTTTCTATTAAAACATCAGTCAGTATTTCTATGTTATGATGAATTATTATATCCTTAAGAATTATAGTGTTATTAATTCATTTAAACCTACTATCATTTAGTCATTATTCCTTAGAATCACTCTAAAAAATATTCTACTAAAATCAAGATGTTATCCTAAAAGACTATCAATACGAATGTAAAAGAATAATTTAAATCATCATTTTTTCCTTAAGTGTTCACATTCTGTTTAATCATTTTTCTGTACATTTTAGAGGAAAAACTGTAATTTTGGGGATTAAATCTACTAATCTACATATTGGCCTATAGACTACATATCAGCACACAGACACTTGAGGCTTTAAAAACTGTTTTAACTCCGGAACAATTAAAGTTTCTTGTAATCTTAATTTTCCTTTACACTATCCAAGACATTTTTTTCCTTTTCTGCTCACTTTTTCCCATTTAAAAATGGAAAATATTTTGCAATTATCTGTTACCTATTAGTAACACCAATTTTTTTCAATTATGAAAAAAATTTAAAATATGACACACAGAAAATATTAACACTTTAATCAAAATGTGGACGATTAATTTATCTGATAAAAGAAGAAAAATGTGTCAGCATTCAGAGCCCAGTGGAAAATGAAGTATTTTAGGAAACAGACATACTCACTAAATTTTTTTTTTTTTTAAACTATCATCACACTTTATTTTTTTTAAATTTTATTTATGTGTGTGTGTGTGTGTGTGGCCAGCTCAGCCCACCAGGGGGCGGGGCTGGCTGGCATGTGGTGCTGGGGGATTGAACCGCGGTCCCTGTGCTTTGCTTAGCTTGTTCTAAGTAGGTGCTTTAGACCACTGAGCCATCTCACCAGCCCCACTAAAATTCATTACTTACTCTTCTTACTATTACATATTACTACAAGTCAAAAATTTAGTGACTCTTGAAAATATACATTTCAATGGATAATAAAGTATTTAGTCAATATGGACACTCACTGAAATTGGTCACTTATTTTTCTGAGTATTACACATTACTGCAAGTCAAAAATTCAGTGATCCTTGGAAATATATTTCAATATATTTGTCCTATAGTCTCACCTGAAAAGTGCATATACCAGGGAAGCAATCAAAGTGAAACTGACCACAACTGCCACAAGAACTTGGTCACTTACTCCTTCTATAACTGAATCATCATCCAGTTTCAAACTTTGAACTTCACCTTGATATTTGGCCATTCCAGGTCTAAAATATGAAGAAACAAGATAAAAGTTACCAACAACAAAGTGAAAATTAAATATGCTAATAAAAGCAATGTAAACATAGCTGTCTTCTAATATACTTACTATCTGTAGCATTCCCTTCATGTACCCTATGTTAAATACAATTCCAGTGAAGTCTCCCATTAAGGAGTTCTTTAAAATTTGCTAGAAAAGGGCTGGCCAGAGAGCTCAGAGGATTAAAGTGCCTGTTTAGGCAGATGCAGGGACCAGGGTTTGATCCCCTGCGACTGGGTGTGGTAGTGTGCCTGTAATCCTAGGGCCTGGGAGGCTGAAAACAGGAGAATCACTATGAGTCCTATCTGTGTAGTGAGACCCCGTAGACCCTATACTAAATACATAAAATAAAATAATAAAATTATTTGGGGAGTACAAATGTTATTTCCCTGGATTAAAGGGCCTGCTTAGGCAGACACAAGGGAACCCTGGTCTACTGTGCCAGCCCTATCCCTGGGGTGCACTGAGACACACTGAGACTGGGTATGGTGGCGTGTGCCTGTTGAAAACCGGAGAATCACTGTGAGTCTGATCTGTGTAATGAAATCCTGCAGGCCCTGTACTAAATACTTTAAAGAAAAAAAAAAAAAAAAAGAAAGAAAGAAAAGAAAAAAAGAGCAACTACTATAACTTGCCATCTATTTCTACCTTTTAAGATTTTTTTTTTTTTTGCGCCACCAGGGCTTGAACGTGGGACATTATGCTTGCCAGGCAGGTATTTATGCTGCTAACACATGTCCTTGGCCCTGAGAAAAAAAAATTTTTGAGTACACTTTTCTCCTCAGGATTAGCTCCTTCAAGGAAAATGACCTCATTGGAGTGCTCCTTTCTAAATCCTGAATATCCAATAAGTTCTCCATAACAAAACAAATCAGATTATTCTTCACTGCACTGAACATACATGTCTTTTGGAATTTATCACATACTGATGGGGAAAGGAAATTTGTAGTTTTCTATAAATATCCAATAAATGATCTGTACACAGGAGTCCTAATGTTTGTTTAAATAAAAATGATTTACCGAACTTAAGAGTTAGTAATTTGAAAGATAAAAGACATTAAGGATTTAAGGCATTTATGTAAGGACTACAAAACTGTTATATATGAACTAACAAAACTTTTGGTGCTTGAAAAACTGTCAATCTCACCTAAAACTAAGCTTAGTTTATAGTTCAAAAATGCCTGGAATACAGAATGATTATGAAGCTGTAATTCATAGGAAAAAGAGAGGGATATGCAATTTTTCTTCTCATACTCAAAATTAAAGCAAATTCTCGGACCCAATCATATGGGTATGACAGAAAGCTCAACCACACTTAAGTTCACATATCATAGGTAACAGGTTCCAGCCCGGGTACAAACTGCTAAATTATCATGGCCCTGATCCAACATGGCTGAACCCCAAAATCAACAGCTTATCTTCCCAATGGTCACTTCCTCCTCCTTCCCCAGCCGAGTCCTAGCTGTCTCCTCCTGAGTGTCACTGAACCCGCCCCTCAAGCTCCGCCCCCAGCAAGAGTCCATAAAGTCATCTTAGTCTCAGATCAGAGGATCCCTCCAACTCCCTGCTAGTTTGCAAATCCGCCTCAATAAATAACTTTTCCTTCATTTTCTTTTACTTCTGCTCCTCTGCCGCAGCGCAAAAAAACCTAACAAATAGTAATTAATTTTTTTTCAGATTAGGAACCTATAACCTTCTAATTCTTAAGATACTTAAAGGGAAATAAAGAAAATAAGTATTCCTGTTTTTTTTTTTTTTTTTTTTTTTTTTTGGTATTTTTAAGGAAGGGTCTACAGGGTGTTTAGGATCTTACTACTAGATCGTACTGGTAGTGATCTGCCTGTTTACAGCCTCCCAAGAGCTGGAATGCCACCACGCCCAGTCTCAATTGCTGTCTCAGTACATCCTTGAGGCAGGGCTAGCCAGCAGGCCTGGGGACTGAACCCCCAAACCCTGCACCTGCCTGTAGGCGCTTTAATCCACTGAGCTATTTGGTTGGCCCTAAGAAAATAAGTATTAAATATATGTAATACCAAAGTTCTGCATTTATGTAACTTACTGGGTTTTTTTGTTTTGTTTTGGTTTGTCCTGGGGATAGAACTAGTGATCTTGCACTTGCCAGGCAGGCACTTATGCCACTGAGCTATATACCTAGCTCCTATGTAACTGACTGTATTGAAAAGTTTCATCCATATATAGGCACCTTAGAAATACAGGCAGTCACAGAGGGCTAGGCTCTCAAGGAGGCAATATGGAAGACAAGACTTTACATCTGTCCCAGAGGCTCCTGGTAGGCCAGACCTCAAGACAAAAAGAGTAGACAAAGAGCCACATACTCCCTAGGGACGGGCTTCAAGGCCTGATATTCCAAATAGGTATCAGTCACCTTGAAAAAAGAAAAGCTCCTGTTTTGTATTCATGTTGGTTTACTAGACTCCCTTCCTCATTTGATCCCAATTTAATCAATACAGATTTTTGTTTTAGTATCCTGTTTTTAAATTAAAAATGTTATGGTTGTAATACAAATTCCTAATGGCAGTGAGAACTACTGTAACTGACACTGAAAAATAGAACTTTAAAAGTTAGATATTTTTTCTTTTAGAAATAAGAAACTTCTCTAAAGTTCCTCCCAAGCACATGACCAACACACTCTCTCCTCAGTTGAGATAAAGTGACAGAATGGTGCAATGAGCCGAAGATGGCTGGAAGTGATAAAGCGAGTGTGGAGGTCTGCATCAACTCTGGGAGCTTCCCTCCTTTCTGTTCCTTACTATAAAAGACCTTTGCCCACCTGTAGCGTGAAGATGGTGATCAGGGACAAATGGGACCATCCACCTCCTCACAACTAGCTAGCTTTGGATAAGTTATTTTTCCAAATATGGCCTCCTTTGACCTGGTCAGAAGCAAGCAAACAAACCTAAACTTATGATAACACTACTTATATCTGCTCAAAGATAATCAAAATGTTATCTCTGTCAAGAGTCCTACCCTCTAAATGCTCAATTTAATGACCTCAGAGTCATGAAGATCAAATGAAACTGACAGAGGCAAAAGCACTTTGCAAGTTAAGTGCATTAATAGGTCCATTATAATTATGATTACTCATATTTTCTCGTCTCTTTGCAGTTAGGCAGTTTACCACTTAGTTAAATGGTACATTTGTTTTTGTATCCTTGAAAGTGTAAACAGTGGCAATATGACTAAATTTTATTATACAAATTTTATATAGATGGCCTTTAGTGTGATGTCAATGCAATTATATCCTTCATAGGGGCATTAAAGGTTGGTTGCAGATGACCACACAATATTTTCTAATGAAAATATGAGCTTTAGCATAACAGAAACCAACTGTACATATCAGATATCAGTAACTGTGCTAAGGGAATACAAGAAGCAATCTTTGTGCTCACTCACTTTAATGGCAATGTATACTGAAGTGTAAACATTATGTGCCATGTTATATATTTGTAATTTGCTTTATTAAATGTTTTCTTTGAATTTTTTTCTTGTAGAATTAGTCCAATTTGTACAATGTCACATGAAAATCCAGTTATACTATTTTGGGAGGAGGCTGAAAGTGAGTCTTCAGGTGACTTGATTATCAATGATGACTTGGATTATGTAAACCAAAGAAGTTGGCAATACATGACAGATATGACAGATAGGTACAGAATGAAGACCTTGATTCAGATGAGAAAGAAAACAGTAATATAAACATCTGACTCATTAAAATGCTACAGAATAGTCATGTATTCCTGAATGATCCAATATGAGAACTAGGTTGGAAAATGTTTTTAGATTCTTGCTGAGGGTGAAAGCTATTGGATGCAATGACAACAATGCAACTGAACACTGGTAATTATAATGGACAATGTGCCACAAGATGTTTGGAAATACATTCATACTAAACATAACACAACTAAAATGTTCTACAGGTATCAGTAGTAATACTTAAATATATATCTATCATACCTCACTATCCAAACTAAAAACTATCATGGCAAGGCTTTATCATTCTAATCATTGGAATTTAAAAGCTTTATGGTGAAGTGACAGATGTGATATTGAGATTTTTTTTTTAACAATGACACTTAAGTGATTTGGTTTCCTTCAAAATTGCCAACTTTTAATGATAGGACTCACCAAAAAAACCAATCTAACAACTTGGTTATTTGCTCATTTTTTAAAAGCTTTATTTCAAACTGCCAAGCAATAT